TAATCTCTGCTACAGCAGGAGTACAGACAGCTTGTTTTCCACTAACTGTAAATAGAAATTACTTTAATCTTTCCTAAAATGTTTACATGTAATTGGAGAAACGTCCGATAAAAAAAAAGAAGCTGTAAAGATAAAGTTCTATAAACTATGATTACACAACAAAGCACACTCTGTTATATTAAATTAATTAAAATGTAGATATAGATTAATAATAATAAATTAAATTCTGCTGTAAACATGGAAAACAGGAGTCATGATAGAAAATGGATATATCTTTGTTACTTTGTTATTCTTCCTGTTGCATGTGTCTTGATGTTTCTTTATTGATAAATGCTAGTACTTTATGTCATCATTTATATTTTCAAGACGCTTGGGAAGCGTGTAACCTTGTCTAAGCTATATAAAACTGGGCAGTACATATCGTCCGTCCAGAGGGATCGTTACTTATTCTTGTCCGCTAGTTGTGAACAGTTTACAAATACCGCTCAGTTCATTCTCAGGTCTTTTTTAATACCGTAAAACCAGAAAGATTCAAAAGGTTATTATTATGGTAAACACTCCAGACATTACCAAAGTAGGGACAGAAGGGATGCGGTAGTTTGTTCTTCTAAAATAATTGTTTCCTGCTAAAGAGCCCGATCCTGCTCTGTAAATGTGTGGCTTCACACCTACATTTATTTTTGAAAGAAGAATCCTACAGAGAGAAGTTTCTCCATTAAAAGTTTAATTGCACTTCTTTCAATAAACCAGAGAGACTTGTCTTACTAAACAGTTCCGTTCTCAGATCTGCCACTTAAAATATCATGTAACTTTGGGTTAATTACTTAAAGGCTGTGACTTGTTTCCTCTATCTGTAACAAAGAAATAATTCCTACATACCTTGAGCTGGCTCTGAATGTGACTAATAGATGTGATTTTGCGATTCTCCTCAAAAGCACTGAAAACTAAGGTCAAGTTTTGCATGTAATTTTCATTATCAATAGCTGACTTTCAAAATAACAGGAACTTGGAATAAAACTAGTGTGTCTCCTTAGGTTGTACTTGTTTTTAATCAGATTTCTTTAAAATATGTCCGCAGTTTTTCGAGGCTTCTAAAAAACGCAGAAGCTTACTGAAGGTGCAGGCTACTTACGCTGCCTTCCATTTGTGCCATTAGGAATATGATTTTTGTAGGTCACGTAAAAAAAAATAAAATTGTATGATTCCTATTACCGGTTAGTTCATAGGAACAATAGATGAGTGTTTACCTGGCAAGCTTCTTGGTAAAGCTGAATTTTTCATGTATGACAGAAGAGTGGTGTTAAATACACAAGCTCAGCCTCCACCATTCCTCTTTTAAATTGATCTGGGGAAAAACCAGACTTGTTAGTCTTCAAAGAAGTTCTGTCTTCATTTCTGCAGTCATGTTCATGTTTCTGATTTCCACTATCAACACTTGGGTTCTGTGTCGCAGCTCTTCTTTTATTAGTGCATTCACATTTAGCAATAAAGCCATTTGCAGTTGTTTATGCCTGAAATGCTATTTAGATGTGTTAAAAATGTGTTTGTTTATGTATCTATAGTTTTATTTAGTGAGACTTGTAATGTAAGCCAAAGAAACGGGAGACAGCCTGCAGCAGAAACAGGAGAAACTCTTCAAAACATGAAGCCTCCAGCAGGGTCCATCATGGAGCGGACAAATTCACGTGTTCTTCAGAGGCTGTCCGACCCGTTGTGTTTTGTAGGGTTTCTGTACCCAGTCATCTTCGTGGCAGAGCTGGGAGTTCAATTTCTTTGAGGACGCCTTATAACAAATGGGTTGCAGTCATAAATCACGTTTCACTTTGTCCTTTCATGTTTTTCATGAGAGGTCTGACCAAGAATTTGTTGGGAGTTTGTGGCCCGCTCAAACGAACCACATATTGTTCACTTGATCATATCTTTTCACTGGGTCCCTCTACTGTCCTCTACCTGAACTGACTTCAGTTATATTGAGATATTTCTATGAAAGAGTCAGAGTTTGCCTCTTTGCTACATTTTTTGTAAAATCAGATCACAAATCTTGAAAAACGCAGACACTAAACCAAAGAAATATACCTAATGCACATAATTGGCCACAAAATAGCAAGTTTCTGATAGTCTTCCAACCCAGATAGCACAGTAACACTATGCCAGTAAGAAATAAAGTGCAGTCTGGTGTATCACTGAAGGCTGTGAAATGTACCAATTTATATTACCTAATTACAATTAGAGAAATCTCTTTGCTTAATACGTTTTGCTAATTTAAAATTCAAGCAATTTTCAAAATGCCTTGTCCTTTATCTATGGCAAAGAAGATATATATCAGGTATGGTGCACACATATGGATCCTCACATAAAATTCTGTTAAAGGCAATATTATCTACATAAGTACGTATTTTTTACTAATGATCTTGACTGCCAGGTTTTTTTCATGCTTTTGTCCATCATCCTGAAAAACAGGTGAATTAGGTTCTCTACTTCAGCTTATGCAATTGAGAGTGACTGTTGAAAAATATGGGAAAAACAAATTGGGAGAGAAAAGCTCTTAGAGTGTATTGCAAAGCAGGTGTGTCTCCACATATAAAAGCAAGTACACAGTCAGAGAGATTCAGAGCAGATACTACAAAAGCTGGCAGAAACGTGCCTGGTGAAGAGGAATCTGTATTTCAGTCTGAGGAATAGAGGACTCTTGCTGCGCATCTTACTGGCTAGAGTCTTTAGCACAGAGCGTGAATAAATCAGTGCCACTTGCAGAGTTAAGTTGATTTTCACTGTGTTTAGATCAGAATTTTTTTACTTGTGTGTTTGAAAATACACAAGGTAGGGGAGACAGAGAGGATTTAAAGGTAAGAGGAGAAGTGGAGTAGCAAGTGTACAACACCACCATTTGCTATATGTTACAGTAGTAAGCATATAAGACTTAGGAAAATTTTTGCAGGGTTTAAAGGTTAAAGGTAATGGCTTAATTGGGAAGGTGTCCGTCTTCCTTTCTGCCTTCTCATTTCTGTGTGACATGTGGTAGTTGAATAGCATCACCGAGGCAAAATTGTTACAAGAAGGCAAGTTCAGATCTCACGTAAGCAGAAGAAATTCCTACTGACTTCAGGGGGAATTGAACAATGACTCCAGTCAGTGAATTTTATGCTTTCCCAAAGTTATAAAAACTTTTTTGTCCTGCCCTTCGGACCAGGTAGACTTGGAATAAAACATTATTGCGTAGAGATGTGGTGTTTCCAATAGTACAAAACTTCTTGGTGTGACAAAGTGCGACAACCAACATTAACCATCTGAAAGTTAGTTGTCTACTCAAAGTGAGTGTAAACTCAAAGGAGAGAGGCACATTCAGAGAGGAATTCATCCCATGCTAAAATAGATGCCTAAGCTAGGTCAGATAAACTTCCCTCAGGATTTCCATATTCTGTTGACTATAGGAGTCCGGTGATAGCTGAGATTAAATTCCCCCCCACAAGCATCTGATTTCTGAGTGGAAGTCTGGTTTGTCTTTTCCACTTGTATTTTAGAGTGAGACCTTCACAATTTTTAGTCTTAAAATTCATTTGTTGATTGCAAAAGACTATCAAACTTTTCAGTAATAGTAGGTACTTTTACTTTCAAACTCTTAATTAGTCGGTGTTTTAAGACCTAAATTTATGCTGTGATGAATTGTGTGAAAAGTGGTATTCTGTGTAATATTAGATGAAGTAATGTCTTCTAAAAGTAAAGTTCATCAGACTTTTATTTCTCTTTTCCTCTTAAGTGTCACATTTATACAAAGTCTTTTGGGAGAGATTGAAGTAATAGAAATATTAGAAAAGTTTTTCCTCTTAAGATTTGTTCATGATTTATTTTATTTATAATAATATTATTTTTGCTGATTTACGGAAGACTGGAATGTCCAACAAACATCTCACAAAGCAGTATTTATATGCCGGCTTGCTATTATATACAGAAAAAACATCTGAATTTTGCTAGTCAAGCGAGTGGGTGCTTTTTCATGGGTGGAAAACTTGTCCTGCTGACAGCTGTTTGACTGTGCCGTGGTTAGCTCGAGCAGGGGTTTCACACAGCGTGTCTGCTCCAGCGGCTGGGCGCGTACCTTGGGCTCTGCCACGGGGCTTTTCTCTCTTAGGTACACAGCCACACATCCTTGCTGCGTCTTTCCCACTCGCACATATATTCCTGGAAGCGTGTGTGTAGGTGGGCATTTATCTATTACGTGCACGCTTCACCTCAGTATATAATGAGCAGACAATAAAGCTGTGTCCAAAAAAGCACCTACACAAAAATACATTCTTAAATGTTAGTGGACAAACTAATAATCTTACGACAAGGTTTCCCAACTTTTAGTTTTCATTTAGAAGTGACTGAGAACATGTTTCTCTCTACAGAGACCGTCTGACTGATGCTACAGTCCTCGTGCCGTACTGTTATGTCCATAGCTTTTTTTCCCCCCTATATAAATCAGACTTCCTTAAAAGACTAGCCAAGCAAGAAAGGTTTTCTTATGCTGAAGTGATGTATTACGCAAATATTTTTCTAGGCTAAGTGTCTTTATTGTGTAAAACATTTACTGCTTTAAGATACTTATTTTGCTGTCTGTTTTAATCATATCTTTTGAAACAGTCTCAATAGATTTTTCCATTCGTAACATTATGACACTTGATAAGATGATTGATTATGAAGTGTTGAGAGCCCTGCCATGTGATCATTTATTTTTAAATACACATTTGTACTAGCCAATGCTTAAATTTCTTGCAGGAATACATAAGAGATGCGAAACATAAAGCTTGAGTCTGATCGAATCTGATGCCTCTGGAAATAGAGTGCCACAGTACTGTGGTCTTAAAATAACAGATTCTGACTGAAACTGGAACTTTGCAGTGATAAATATTATGTAAAAAATTATGGTCCATCTTTGTTACAAAATAAAAAAGACGTACAGCTGTGGTGCAGGCGAACTAAAATGTGTTTGACGATGATATCTTTCTTTCCCTGTGCAGGTGCCTGTGTCAGTGGCCATGATGACTCCCCAGGTGATCACCCCTCAGCAAATGCAGCAGATTCTCCAGCAGCAAGTGTTGTCTCCGCAGCAGCTTCAAGCACTTCTCCAGCAGCAGCAAGCAGTTATGTTGCAGCAGGTAATGTGGGTTACCTGCTTTGGACCGTTAGCACAGGGCATTCGCACAAGTGTCAGCCAGATTTTATGGGTCGTATTTCGTAATCTTTCATCACTCATTACACCGTAAAGAATGGAAATAAATGGGAAACTTCTCAGTCTTTACATTTCTTGTTTTAATTGCAGAAGAGTGAAACTGTGATTTTGAAACATTAAATATTATATTAAAAACAGCAGCAGCAGCAGTGGCAGATGCATTACAAATACCGAACAAATTGATATTTAAATTTTCAAGTGCTTAGGCACATTTTAATTGTAGACTTGCCAAAGAAAGTGCAAATAGAGTTGTAGATAATTGTTGTTTTAAAATTCATAACACTGTAGTGCTCCCTTTAGTCACGTAAATGGTATGCGGTTATGAAATTTGAACTTAACAGCTTGTTTCATCATGGGAAAAAGTTTTTTTTTTTGTTTTGTTTGTTTTTACATCCAAAAACTTTGCCCCAGATAAGGCTAAAGAGAAGGAGGAGGTTGCTGTTTCCTTAGCACAAAATCTGTCAGCTAAGCGAAGAATCCATGAACTTGTTATTCATACAGTAAAGACAGTGTCAGCGATCTGTACCTCAGTGAAACGCAGAGTGGATTTTTGGTTGGGTGCTTAATTGTCATACAGAAAATGATGTGTCTGTTTGTCATAGTCATAGCTCAATCACTGTATGTTTAAACACTTTAATACCCAGTACCGTGATCATTACAGGCAATTCACCTTCAGTTGTGAATCCAGCATCCCGCTAAACAGATTGACAGATTAATTACTTTTTTTCCCCTAAGAAACAGGCAGTTTAGTTTGGCCTTAGTGTCTTGTAGGTTTCTTGCAAGTGGATGAGTACAGCTTCTGATTTGTTATATAGGACATGTGAGGAACTTAGGTATAGTTATTTGAGGAGTTAATTTGGCTCTTGCATTCCCTTTAGAATACAGATTTTCTATACCCTTCTGTTTAGGATATTTTGGAATCTGCATTGGAAAATTTCAGAACCGCCTTGGAAAAAAATGTATGTAGATCTGCCTCTTCAAATCACATTTTTTGTTATGAGGTGATTCTTAATGGCTACGCTACCATATGCCAATCTAGAAGAGTTTAGGAGATTTATAATACTTGAAACTTTTGCCTTTATTTATTAAAGTCAAAATGGTTTATTCAGCAACAACTACAAGAGTTTTACAAGAAACAGCAAGAGCAGTTACATCTTCAGCTTTTGCAGCAGCAGCAACAGCAGCAGCAACAGCAACAACAACAGCAGCAACAGCAGCAGCAACAGCAGCAACAGCAGCAGGCACAGCAGCAGCAAGCGAAAAACAGCAACAGCATCCAGGAAAGCAAGCAAAAGAGGTAGGAGCTAAGACCCTTGCTGGTGCATACTAGTCTGAGCTGTCAGAAGCTTGGAAAAGACAAGACCAGTTTAGATTTTTTTCCTGTAGCAAGGATGCAGCTATCAAAGATTTGTTCTTATGTTTTTACCGGGCTTAACAGCAGTGCCGGTATAATTCTCCTGCTTCCCTTTCTGAGACACAGGATTTGAGCAGTCTAGGGCTGCTGTCGTCTAATGTTCGCTAATGAATCCGAGTGTGCAAAGAACAAGCCGTGTGGTGGACACCGTACTGATTATCTTGTATTCACCGGCAATCTGTGTTGGGGAAGGAGCCTTACTTTTCTCGGTGGCGCAGCTCAGAGAGCATGCAAATTTAGTCCATGGCTGAAAAAGGGCGATTGAGCACAGATTTCAAAGTCACAGGCCCCTGATTAATGAACTGCTAGTGTAGGTTTGGAGTGGCGAGTAGAAAGTTACAGTTTGATGTGCTCATAAATCAACCTGACAAGCGGGTTTCTCAGGCCTAGCTTGCACTTGTCAGCAAACTGCATCAAATATAAACATAATACAAACAAAACATGTTGAAGTAGTTAAATTGATCAGCAGGTATCCTAGACGTTGTCTTCAAGCTGCCCATTATGCAAACGTCGAGGAAGCAGTTGTGACCTCCTGAGGCTTTGTTTCTGTTTGGATTTGTGAATAGAATTTCAGACAGCCATCAACTACGGAATAGAAATTGCTCCCGTATTTCTCCGGAGGCTCTGGGCAATCCACATGACTTGCTCCATTATGCAGTCTGTTTTCCAGTGAGCGCATCAGAAGTTTCTCTTTTCCCCAAACTAGAAAGGAAAGGTCTTCCACAGCAGCTTGTCTTTCTCTGAAGTGTGACTGCCTTCTCATACCCTCCTGAGTCTTTGCAGACTCCAGTTTGTCTGAAATGCCTCACAAAATTGGAACTTATACTTTTGCTCCATAATAGGGCACTTCGTTGCCTTGAATGCAATGCTCCTTTTAATATATTCCAACAAGAAAAGAGAGAGAGCTAACAGGCCAGTGAAATGAAGGCTACATCCCAGTTTACTAATAGATCACTGGAGACCACATTCATGGGCCACTGCGGACCGAACTTAGTCAATTGGAAAAACAAGAGTGCCTTCGAATCACAGCCTGCTGTAAAGAGTTGCACTTTTAGCATAGATAAATTTGTTATCATCTGCCATGAACTGGGCGCCTTTTTTTTTTACCCTTTTTTTACCCATACAACAGCTGTTGTATGCTTTCTCGTGACCCTTTTCTTTAGTGTGTCATTAAGTATATCTTGCCATTTTCCCTAACACCTAATAGCTTGAATGAATATAATAGAAAATTTCAAACGCTTTCACTGCCTGAGTATTCTACAAATAGCATTATTATTTAATAACCGAGATTAAAGAGAAAGAAGTTGATTTTACATTTTTGGCTTTCTAGCCTTCACTGCACACTTTACTCTGCCGCATTTGCTTCCCCCCCCCCCCCCCCCCCTCTCTTTCTAGCAGCAGCACCAGCCGACGC